CCGCTCTCCTGCTCGCCCACTTCCCCTTTCCTGTCTCAGCGTGACGCCCAATCAGATTCGGTTGGCTGACAAACAAGCCTCAGTTAAAGTCATCAGGAAGAATGACGGCTCTGTTTGGTGACAGGATGCAGCATGAGGTGGCTGATGGTCACTGAACATGCCACCCGAACTGAAGAGGGGACAGCTGAGTGCTGTGGCATGGAGGAACGGCCAGGTACGGTAGCCCTGCGGGTAATCACCATGGCTGTGTGAGATGGAGGGGCAGTGGATGTCCGGGGGAGGACCAGTGGACAAGCCGCTTTTCATACCTGTAACTGATTATTAGCTAGTAAATGCAGTTTGTCCTCTGTTACAGTGTTTCTCAACCCGGTCCTCCAGGACCCACAGACAGTCCACATTTTTGGGAGCTGGGAGGGAGCAAAAACGTAGACTGTCTGGTAAGCAGCTGGGAGGGAGCAAAAACATGATCTGTCTGGTAGAGCACTGGGAGGGAGCAAAAACATAGACTGGCTGGTAAGGAACAAAAATGTGAACTGTCTGGGAGGGAGCAAAATGTAGACTGCCTGGTAGGGAGCAAAAACGTGGTCTGTCTGGGGCTCCCTGAGGACTGGATTGGCTCTATTAAAGCCAAACTCGATCTTGAATGTTTGCTCTTATTGGGCGCTGAGCATCCCAAAACATCATTCAGTTAACTTACAATGATGATCTTACAAATAAACATCAGGCTATATTTCCTGAGCCCACACTCTGGACTGGCGGAGCTGTGCACTGATGGATGGATGGATGGATGGATGGATGGATGGATGCAGGGGCATTATGCAAACCACACAGAAGACATAAAAATACACATATGCAGATATTAATGCTTCTGAAACTATTACACATTCAAACATGTGCAAATAACCTTGTTCACTGCCACTGGGATGTGAGTCGTGAATGTCATGACGTGTCCCCTGGGAATTATGAGGGATGGGGGAGGGAATTAAGAGATGTGATCTGACGCAGGAAGCTTGGCTATTGGCCAGATTACCCTAACTGCAAGTTTACTGTAAGTATTCACAGTCACGTAGGCATGTCAGTGGTTAATTAGGGGTGTAATGGTACAGTTTTCTCACATTTCAAACAATGAAATCTTTATTTTTCCATATAACAACTCTCCATTCAGAAAATTGGCAGCATGACTAACTTGGCTTAGGTTATGTCTCTAACTATATAGAGTCAAGGAGAGAAAAGCATTGAAATTAAAAGTGCCTGTTAATTTTGATAATCTGTAGGTGTTTTGTCAATTCTATTTTAAATGAACAGTGTACCTAGTGTATCTACAGTATCTGTGCAGGCAATATAAAATTTAGTTTTGGAATACCAAATCTTATCTTTATGAAGAAAAATAATTTTATTTGACATGAACATACATGAAGTACATCAGCCACAGGCAATAGCAGTACAGTAATTGTAGATAATCAATACAGTGGAAACCACTTACAGTGATCATGGTTATAGTGATCAATCGCTTACAGTATATGGATCAAAAAGCTTGGGACAGAATCATTCCTGTACAAATACTGTTTAAATAACTCCCTTATAGTAATCAAATAGTTCACTTACAGTATTCATTTTGGGTCTTTTTCAACAAGACAACATATGGAAAAAAATAAAACTGCAGTTATTCCTTTTTTTAATTTTACTTTGATCGCCCTGCCTTACCTTGCGGTTACTGGTCTGCTTCTGGCCAGCTACCTGAGGCTGATGCTATGTGCATAGAAAACATGACGAGTTATTTTCTCTCAATGACAAATATAGACTCAACAAAGCTGAAAATAAACCGCCAAAAACGAGCCACCGAGATGCAGCAGCAAAACTACAATAAGCACTTTGAGACAATGTCACATTGTAAAAATGACCTAGTAAAATGTAATTGAATATTATGTACAGTACTGTACTGTATTATAGCGTATTTACACAGTTCAGCCATTTAATTTGAACAGTACTGTAATTTGAAAAGTGTTTCAAACAGCTGTGCTGTGTTTTGAAATCATCAATAAAATTAAGTATATACCACGCTTCCCATTTTATTACCTTATATTCATGTAATAAATATACAAATGTCAATTAGATGCTAATCTGCCTGAGACATAAAGAAAAAGAAAAGAATCGTTTATAATAATCATCCGCTTATAGTGATCAATTTCACCCAGACAGACATGATCACTATAGGTGGGATCCACTGTATTACAAACTCCACAACCTAGGAGAGTGCTGAATGTTTTTGATGGAGCAGACCCAAATAAAGGGGGCAAAAAAAAACATATTGTGGTGAGTGGTCAAGTCATTTTAATAAAGATGACAACTCTTTTAAAATTAAATATTTTCTTAGTCTTGTATTTTGTTTGGTTACTTATGGTTAAGGTCATCATTGCTGTGATTAGGGTTATGCCCATAGAAATGAATTGATAGTCTAAACAAAGATCTGTGTGTGTGTTTGTGTCTCTGTGTGTGTGTGTGTGTCTGTCTCTCTGTGTATGTATGTGTGTGCGTCTGTGTGTGTGTCTGTCTCTCTTTGTGTCTGTGTGTATCTGTGTGTGTGTGTGTGTGTGTGTGTTTGTATGTGTGTCTCACGTAAGGAGAGAGGGGAGGGTGGCCACTTGACTGAAATTCACTGTAACTGACAGATTTAAGCAGCGAGTGCCGAGTGCCTGTGATTTAGCATTTTTAGTGTCCTTTAGTTTTGTTCAGATATATAGAATTTTTTTATATTTTCTAATCCCCGTGTATCAGTGTAAAATATAAACAAAACTTATAACTTACAGCTTAGTTACTCATAAGTTATAAGCAGCAGATGGAAGCAGAGCCTGCAGGTGTGAGCGCTGGTCACTGGCCTGCCGTGGGGGTTCAGGGCTACGCCCACGCGGCACTCGTGGCGTCCCTCCCACCAGCGCGTGACTCAGCTTGCATCCGTCACTCTTTCATGCTGCTGCGCCCACTTACACCTACTGCCGAGTGTCTGGGCCATGAAGGATGGGCGCATGAGGAGGCAGCTGCTTGGGGAAGAGGAGCATTGTGGGAAATGTGGCAGAGCTGGAGATAAAGTGCCGCGACCTGCCACAGCTCAGCTATGTGTGCATTTAAAGGCTGTCTACATGGAGGAGCATACAGCTACAGGACTCTAAGGATTAAAGGGTATGACCACGTGAATCTAAGGTACACAGGATATTACCACATCAGCCTAAGATACAAAGGATATGCCCACATCATTCTAAGGTATAAAGGATACCGCCACGTAAATTTGAGGTATAAAGGATATGATCACGAGTACCTAAAGTATAAAGGATGTGGCCACATTAATTTAAGGTATAAAGAATATGGTCATGTGAATCTAAGGTATAAAGGATATGGGCATATGAATCTAAGGTATAAAGGACACGGAAGGACACCCTTCAAACATCACACAGCTTAAGGTGTTCTGCAATGAAGAGTGGGGAAAACTTTCTACCAGTCGATGTCAGAGATTGATAGATTGTTATAGGAAATGTCTCATTGAGGTTATTTCAGTATTTATTTCAAGGGGGAAGTACTAGCTATGTACTAACTTTTTCCTCAGTAGGAATTGGCATCGCAGTTAATTGCCTATGTTAAATAAGTGAATTTGTTCCTTGTTTTTGAATAGGTGATGCAGTTACATCACCTTCATCACAAATATAATTTGAAAGAAGAATTATTACTGATATGTTGATATTTCTTAATAAAAAACTAAATATTTAATGGGGTGTCCTAATTTTTTCATATGACTGTATGTAGAAGCACCCTCACTAACTGATATAAAATGCATTCTTTCAGTCGTATATGATACCGCACTCATTCACTTGAGTGATACCAAAAACACTGATTCATTCAGGTGTGATACCTGTTCATTTTCTGCACCTGTCCAGATCCTATCCTGGAAGCTACAGGTGAAAGACAGGGAACAACCAGGATGGGTGCCAGCCTATCACAGGGCACACACACACACACTCACACACTTTTAGTAACTTCAATTCAACTTAGCATGTTTTTGGACTATTGGGGAGGGAACCTCCCACTGACCCTGGAAGAACATGCAAATTGCTCACATGGAACCCTGGCAGAGACTCAAACCCTGGTCCCAGAGGTGTGAGGCAACAGTGCTAATCACTGTGCCCCACATATGTTGTTGAACACTCTTTCACTAACATATGATTTATTCATGTATATGACCAAACACACACCTTTGCACGTTGCTTGGTGGTGCAATCCTTAACACTGTTGCCTCCTGCTTCTGGAACCAGGGTTTGAGTCTCCATCATGCCTTGTGTGCTTCCTGCGGAAGTTAATTGGAGTTCCTGAATTACTTGTAGGACTGAATGGTGTGTGAGTGTGTTCTGTGATGGATTCTGTGTGTAGCCTCTGAGATAGAGAATGGACAGTCATTCACTCATATGTGACACCAAATGCACTCATATGATACCACACAGAATCATTTACAGAAGGTTCTAGAGGAAATTTTTCCAGTATGGTCAATGTCAACTTCACACCTTAGAGTGAATGATAGCATTTATCCACGCACATGACACCAAACATATTCGGTTCCTGAAACATGACACAAAAAACAATTATTCATTTAGGGACTGTATATGATCACAGATAGACTTCTTTACTCATATGACCACAAACCACTTCACCTATGTAACATACACTGCTAACCCTAATGATAAGAAACAGTCTTTCATCAATATGTGATTAAATGTATTTTCGTGCCAAACAGCTATTTCAGAATTGTACGTATTTTTAGAAGTTTATATAGACCTATGTACTCTTATCTGTTGCATTTAATTAAACGGCCAAAATGAACTTTATATCATGAAACACATGAATTAAAAGTGAGGATTATAAAGTTTGCATGATCGTCCTTCATGTGAATTGGAATAAAGGCGGGAGTGAGTTGCGTGCATCGCTTTAACTTCAGCGTGACTACGGAGGACGGGGAAGGTTATCAGCGCGGAGAGCGACCGAAGCCGGTCCCCCTGCGGTCCGAATGGGGCGCCGCGACCTTGGCTAAACTGCACGCCATGAATGAAATTCCAGGTTTTTCGATCGCATCGACCTCAAGTATTTCCTAGCCCCGCTGAAATGACAGCCTTTGTGATTCACAGACCCGATGAATACAGCGGACTCTCTTGACGTCAGAAGTGAGAATGAGCGCCGCGTCCAATTGGGCTAGAACAGGACTGGGAAGCTGGTACTGGAGAAACTGAGATCGTCGCTGGAGATGCATGTAAACGGAGGAATAATACGCTGAACGCTACGGACTCCCCCAAAACTGCACCGAAAAATATCAGGAACTGGTAAATTTTTTTTCAACGTCCCTTTCTTAGACCCCCGCCCCGTCTGTACCGCCAGTTTCTGCTTCTCCGTCTGCCTGTCACGGAATGCTCTGAGAATAAACGTAAAAAGGCACCATCTCATCGGCGATTATGGAAATAAGAGAGTGCATGGGATGAAACGCACGGCAAGTCCGGTTAGTCTTAAAATTTATATTTATTAGTATTTATCTATTTTTATCTTATTGCACTAATTCATGGGACAGATATTGCGAGTCCTCGTGGCGGGATTGCACCATTTTGCTTCACTTTATGACCTTTGCAGTTCTTTATAGCTGCGGATACAATTAGTGCCAGAGCCGGGGAGCATCTTGGGGAATGACTCGCATGTTTAATGTTTGCTGGGGTCTGTGCCGCTACCCGTGCATGTTGCCGGTTGTGATATAACTCCCTTGCGAAAATAAAGCCGTATTCCCACACATTGGAAATATGTCCGTAAAGCCCTACGCTCTTTTTTTACAGGTTCCAAAAATAGCTTTTCGAGCGGCGTGATGTCAACAGTCCCAATGTGAGGGATATTCTCGCTTCAGTTTAACCCTATATTGTCGCCATGGAGGTGCGCTTAAGTAGTTCATTAAAACGCAAGGAGGGGCTGATGTGTGGTGGAAATATTCGCTTTTATTTTTGCAACCGAAAAAATGCCGATTCAGTTGACCTTCGCGTTGGAAGTCTTTAGTGTGTATATATTGGCGAATCTTGTCCCAGTTAAGGTCCTTTTTTTTTTTTAACAAACTGACCCATCTGATATGGTTTAAGGGTATACGGGTGTGCAGTAGAAATCTGATTTAGTGCGTGGTAATATTAGGGGTGGGGGTATTCCGTTTAAGTTTTAATGAGTATCACTCACACCATCTCCTTCTCATTCCAACACCCGCACCCCCTCTCTCCCAGCTATGATTCACTCACTTGCCGCAGCAATGAGCAACCAAGTCCAAAACAACTCTTTGCTGAACTCGTTAACCTGGAATTTTTTGGATGGGAGGAACTCGTCGCCGGTGAGGAGCTCCGACGTGCGCCCGGTGCCCGTGAACCCGTGGGACATCGCGCTCTGTGTGACGGGGACAATCATCTCTTGTGAAAACGCAATAGTGATCGCCATCATTTTTTACACGCCCACCCTCAGGGCACCCGCCTTCATCCTGATAGGAAGCCTCGCCTTCGCGGATCTGCTGGCGGGACTAGGACTCATACTCAATTTTATTTTCACGTATATGCTGAACACGAAATTCGTAACCCTGATTTCCGCTGGACTGCTGATCGCCGCCTTTTCCGCCTCGGTGCTGAACATCCTTGCGATCACGGTGGACAGGTACCTCTCCTTATACAACGCGCTCACCTACCATACGGAGAGGACAGTGACTTTCACTTATGTCGTTCTTGTCCTCATTTGGTCGATCTGCATCGCGCTGGGTTTACTGCCCGCTTTAGGATGGAACTGCTTGAAAGACGAGTCCTCCTGCAGCATCTGCCGCCCGGTGACGAAAAACAACGCCGCCCTGCTGGCGGTGTCCTTCCTGCTAATCTTCGCGTTAATGATGCAGCTTTACCTGCAGATCTGTAAGATCGCCTTCAGGCACGCACAGCAGATCGCGGTGCAGCACCAATTCATGGCCACCTCCCACGCCTCCTCCACCACTAAAGGTGTATCCACGCTCTCCATCATTTTGGGCACATTTGCGCTCTGCTGGATCCCATTCGCCATGTATTCCCTGGTGGCCGACTCAAGATACCCGATGATCTACACATACGCCACAGTTCTGCCGGCCACTTGTAATTCAGTCATAAACCCCATCATTTACGCTTTCAGGAACCCTGACATTCAGAAATCTCTGTGGCTTGCCTGCTGTGGATGCGTCCCCTCTAACTTTTCTTTGCGGCCACGGGCGTCAAGTGATGTATAGTAGTTGATATTTTACACTCTTTTCTAGTGTTATTTTCATAACTCCGCAAATCCGTTAAAACCTCCTCATGAGTTCAGATGATACAAACTATGCATTGACATATTGCATTTACCTAGCTACTGTGCGGTATTGCATTGCGCGCATATCTCCGCGGCATGTCAGGGCGTTCTATGTACCTAAGCCTGCCCCGTCTAGAAGCCCGACATGGATTTGGGCGATGCTTTAAAACTAGTACCACTTAGCATCAGTGTATGTAAAACGAGGAAACGCATCGACGATGGCGGTAGAGAAATGCAGCTCGGTTTGCGCCTCGTTCTCGGCAATGTGGAGCTTCAGTTTTGTTAACCCCATTAAAACAGGCTATTTGCGCATCCATGTTTCATGCCAAAGAAGCGAGTCCCGGCTTTTCATTTTCTGGCTTTCGGGGCTATTGAGCAGCCGAAGTAAACGATTCCCATATTAAAACATTTAATTTATCATTAAACCTTTTCAAATTGCAAATGTTATCGCCCACGTTTACGTATCAAAGACAATACTGCCTGTGTCCACACCATATAACTGATGCATAGCAAAGCATTTGGACGCAGGGTTTAGCGTGGTCACTTTGTGCTGGTAAATAAAGCAGTTTTTCCGCCGAGTCATTTCAGCACCGCGGACAGAGACTTGCGCCCGTAAAAGTCACAGGCATGCTTGGGCAATTTAGGATTTTCATTCGCCGCAAATAATACATAACAATTGGCCTACTGCAATATGTAGACCGATTAAGGCTTTTGGGCATCATGTATGTGCGTCATTTTCCTGGTGACCGCGTTATTCTCGTAGGCATTTGCGTCGAAGTCACATAAAACCGCTTAGTGGGGACCCCTTTCATACCCGGTGTGGCGATCGACAATCATTCACGTGTAAGATATCCCATTACAGATTCTCCGATCGGGAATTAGGGCAGGATTATTGGTTTTCCTAGGAATAAAGAAACGGTAAATGCGGTTTTAAATATGCGTTTAATCAGGCGTGACTCTTGGTTTCTAAACGCAAATTCCCTCCATCCAGCATCTCATTCCTAGTCGGTTTGGATTTTGATCTTGGTACTATATATATAGTAAGCATTTATTTTCACACCAGGAGCGTTTTAGGAGGATCAAGCAATATACGTATAATACAGCAAACTCTGCGTCTGTGCCTGGGAGAGACAAATATCGCGTCAATTAACTGAATCTTTCAGTCGCAGTTTAAATCAGTATTCTGCAAAAAAAACACAGGCGAAAGTAACGAAAATGAAGTGAAATGTAAAATTTCGAAATTTCACGCAAAGCGTTTTTTTGGGAATTATACTTCCTAATACAACGAATATGTCCCTTGACATTATGAATTAATGTATTGTTTCGCTGTTTTGCCAGTGCAGTACTTATTGGTATAGACGCGTTGACAAAGAAGTTGATAACGTCATCCTTCTACCTGTACCTGGTGGAACTGTGCTCTGTTCAATTGTAAAATGTAAGAGAAATAAAAAAAAAGAAAAACATTGGCCTGGTTGCACAAATGATAAGGAATATAGCCTATAGAATATAGAAATCTTAAATGTCACAGCCTAGCAAGGTTTGTCATTAATTCAGCATTTTCATTGTTTTTTGTACGAGGGCGCCATTTTTGAGTGTGATTATTGTTGATTTTACGAAAAAATTAAATAACATGGATAAGCATTGTGGCTAACAGAAAACATGTTTGTATACCTGTGAACATTTAAAGGTGGTATTTTACAATACTTTTAAATTTTTTAATTTTGAAAGGGAAATTTATAACGAGTATGCACGTGGTTAGTTGGCGTTTCATCCGAATACAGTCCTTTAGTATAACGTAATAATAATTATAAGTATTATTATTATTATTATTATTATTATTATTATTATTATTATTATTATAAGAGTCGATATAGACTCTTGGCGCCCATGTATGGACGCCAGTCCTGAATGGTCCTGTCTTCTGTCTGGACCTTCAAGTACCAACACTTATTGTATTGCCTTCAAACTTGATATGTATGTAAAATGTTCTTAGGTGTCATGCAATAATTTAGTAATATATAATTGTGAGGATGGTAAAACATATCCGAGTCTGGTAATGAAAATAACACATGGCTATTTAATGTGGATCATATACATTAAATAGTAGCACAAAGATGGTTAAATGTACTACAAAGAATATATCCTAGTAGGTCAGGATGTTATATCCTTTAGCAAATACGTGATCAGATCCTACAGATTTATTGCAGCTTTGATATTACCATGTTCACCTTTACAGATGCGAAATGATTAAACGATAGTTGTAATTTGCAACATAGTTTAACACAAAAGGAGGAAATCAAATGTTCAAATGTATTTATTTTTTAAAGAAATGTATCAGATGACTAACCACTTAAAATAGAACAAATGACAACGGGGGAGCAGGGAGGGGGTGGGGGAAAGGTTAAGGCCGATGGGATTGTGAATGCTAGTTATAGATTTAGTTTGGAGATGTTGGGGTGACACCGCTGTGTGAACACGTAGCCCCTCGTCTAGCTCCAGAAAAGCGAAGCAAGCAGGCTAACTGCATGAGCGAATCGCTCCTGTGCTTCTTTGCTCATCGCTTAGCCGGCCGGCCGGCTGGCTTATATTCGGCAGTGACCATCAATAACCTATGTAGTGACCGTGTTTGCTTTGGCTGTGTAAATATGCATATGGATTATTAGTCTGCAGCTTTAAATTAACCCCCCCCCGCCGCCGCCGCCACCGCCACCCGCGGTTTTGGACACCGCTCCCTTCCTGGCGCGCGCTGGACTGGAGCCTACCGAAACCCCTGCCGCGTGCCGCTTTACCCACAATGCCCTCCTCCCTAACCTCGTTCATCAAGACGCATGATTTGTTTTCACGTTTCTTGGATAAGCCTTAAACTTTTCATTCTTCTGTGCAATAAATGTTGTTTTTAGAGAGAAACCCGATAAGCAGACCCTTCTGTTCTGGCTCGCTTAGCCAGGCCGGCTGAGCACTGTAGTGAGTATGGTGCCAGCGGTATTTTGTAAGTCTTTTTAAACCAATGATTTAGGTCACCATATCTTTAAAATCCCATAAAAGTTAATTTAAGGCTTTTTAGAACTCTTAAATATCCCTCTAAAAGCAACAGATATTATGTATGTTTTAATGGCAATCAGAAATGTATCATATTTACTTTCATGTTATACTCAAAAAGGTTTCAAACTTTAAGTTCCTTAACGTATTACCTGTTCAAAAATACTAATGTTATTTTGTTGAAGTCATCTTATGCAATGGCTAAATGAGATCATATTTAAATATAAAACTATATTTTTGTACACATTGTGAGGGCATTGGTTCAGTTATGTGTGTTGTTATGACTGTGAACGTGTTTGTTTTTTTTCTTTAAAAATTGTTGGTATTTAAAGTGCCACATTTAAGGTGTGTTATTTGTCTTGGACGATAGTGGCACCTGAGGTCACAAAGTCACTGTGGATGAAGGATAAACGAGCTATAATGTAGACAGCGTCAGTGTGCAGTAGCGAAATATGTCCATAATGCATGCAGTACAGGCGGGGACCAGCAGGGGTCCTCAGTTTTCTCCACGGAGGGCAGAGGTCCAAGCAAGGCAGCTGAAGGTTTGCTTACCTCCCTCTTTCGGCCAGAGCCGAGATAGGCGGGTCCTGGCTCATTTTAGAAAGCAGACAGATGGCAGTAGAGCAATGGAGGCTCCCTTTGTCTGCTTCAGGGGAGAGGACCGTCAGGAGCGTGATTTATCACCGCTCTGCCACTCCCCGGTCACTATAGTGACGTCACACTGATGTGTGTACGTGCATTGGCACAGTAACAAAACACTGATTGCTCACTGAAGAAGAGATGAATCCAGAAGGTTCTGGACAGTACGCACCTCTGTGCTGGTTCACGAGCGGCTGGCGTTCTGCCCCCATCTGATGCTATGACACATGGTGCATTGTGAGAGGGGACAGACAGAGTAATCTGAGTCGTCTTAAGAGAAGTCTGTCCTTTAGTTAAAGGACGCCTCTTCAGATAAAAATAAGAGAAGGTCACTTTAAAGACGGGCCCCTTCGTGCATGAATTCTACTGCGGTGCTACTATAAATACATCTGAAAATGCAAGAAAAATCCAGTCAAGTTGCCCAGAATCCTGGGTTTGAACTTCCTGCCTCTCTCCATTTAGCAGGAAGAAGGCTGCATCGCTGCTGGAGGCTTTCCAGCATAAAGATACACTGGACCATCATGCCATCCACTCTCACTTATTAGTTATTGTGTGATAAACATTATTTGCACCCATCAACAGATGCTATGTCACTTCTACCTGCTAGCAGTTTTGTTTATGTTGTCACACGTGTAAGATTTGATTTCATGTTTGAATGTTATTTATTAATATGGATAATTCCTGACATGGGAAGAGAAATTGGTTTATAATACTGTGATGTAAACAATTTTTTGTATGGTGAGATTCAATTTCTGATAAGTACAATGCACTTTATTCAATGAAAGGACATGGTATATATTGCACTGTGGTGAATGTATTCCTTGCTGAAAATTTATTTTTATTACTGTAAATATGAAAAATATCCAAGGGAAAAAGTTGTCAAATAAAATGAATAATGAAGAACTCTGAAAATGTGTTGATGTCTGGCTTGTATTTATCAAGCATCGTTGCCAGCTGTTATTCAGGGCTAATTTTAGATCATCCTTTTTTGTCAGTTATTTTTGTATACTGCAAAGCTGTAAATGGAAGGAACTTAATGTCTGAACACCTCCCCCTCTCTCTCTCTCTTTCTCTCTCTCTCTCTCTCTCTCTCTCACACACACACACACACACACACACTACATTATAGTTTCCATTCACAGCAGTACCATTCTCCATCGATTTCAGGAGGTACGATGAGGCTTGAAAATGCAGGAAGAGACATGAGGAGGTGGGGTGAAATATGAGGCAGGGTGAGACATGATGAAACGTGATGAGGAAGGGTGAGTCGTAAGGAGGTGGAGTGAGATGTGAGGAGGCATGGGTGAGATGTGAGGAGGCGGGGTGAGACGTGAGGAGGCGAGGTGAGACGTGAGGAGGCGAGATTGAGATGTGAGGAGGCGGGGTGAGACGTGAGGAGGTGGAGTGAGATGTAAGAAGGTGGAATGAGATGTGAGGAGGCGAGGTGAGACGTGAGGAGGTGGAGGGAGATGTGAGGAGGTGGAATGAGATGTGAGGAGGCGAGGTTGAGATGTGAGGAGGCGGGGTGATACGTGAAGAGGTGGAGTGAGATGTGAGGAGGTGGAATGAGATGTGAGGAGGTGGGGTTGAGATGTGAGGAGGCGAGATTGAGATGTGAGGAGGCGGGGTGAGACGTGAGGAGGTGGAGTGAGACGTGAGGAGGTGGAGTGAGATGTGAGGAGGCGGAATGAGATGTGAGGAGGTGGGGTGAGATGTGAGGAGCGAGGTGAGACGTGAGGAGGTGGGGTGAGATGTGAGGAGGCGAGGTGAGACGTGAGGAGGCGGAGTTAGATGTGAGGAGGCGGAATGAGATGTGATGAGGAAGGGTGAGACATGGTGAAACGTGATGAGGAAGGATGAGTCGTAAGGAGGTGGAGTGAGATGTGAGGAGGCGGGGTGAGACGTGAGGAGGTGGAGTGAGATGTGAGGAGGCGGAATGAGATGTGAGGAGGTGGGGTGAGATGTGAGAGGGCGAGGTTGAGATGTGAGGAGGCGGGGTCAGACTTGAGGTGGAGTGAGATGTGAGGAGGCGGAATGAGATGTGAGGAGGTGGGGTGAGATGTGAGGAGGCGAGGTGAGACATGAGGAGGCAGAGTGAGATGTGAGGAGGCAGAATGAGATGTAAGGAGCCGGGGTGAGATGTGATGTGGCAGGGTGAGACATGAGGAGGCAGGGTGAGACGTGAGGAGGCAGGGTGAGTCTTGTAAGGCTTGATTGTCTCCAAAGCCGCTTCCTGCTTCTCTAAATGCCTTGCACTCTATTTTCATGCTTTACATTTTCTACACTGAGTATTGATAACTAGTCACCCGTTCATTAGAATGCATCGTTTTTGGTGAATGGAGATGGTAATTTGTTTATTTTGGGGTGGATTTGGATTTGGGAAGTCGACCATACTGTCTTAAGTGAGATTCGGTTTCTCTGACTTTGTTTGATTAGCCTTAGTAGAGCTTTAAAGAAGGTCAGATCAGTGCAACACATGGTACAGGATCTGGTACCTCACTGGGAAAGCTAACAGCTTGTGCCCATGTGTTATTATGAAGTGTAAACACTGGTTGGAAAAAAATATATAATGATTACGAAATTGTCATTTATTTTTATACAAAAAGGAATAATGGCTCTGGGCCACTTAACCCGAAATACACAGAGGGCCCTCATGTTGCAGGGAAAGTGGGAGATATTTAATGCTTAATTATGGAACTATGATTAAATTACTATAGAGTTACTATAAAGTTATAGGATTTTTGAGCGGTGTTTTAATATGGGTGTGGGTTGTGTTAGGAACGCCTCTCTCGTTTGCAAGGAATATTCCAGTGGAATGTAAAATCCCCTTTGGGTTAATTTACCTGATTGTGTGACACATTTTGTGTAATAATATGTTCCAGCTTTTAAGACTGATGAAAAAACTGAATTTAGCAGCAATGAAAACCATTTAAATGAATGACGCATTTGTTTGTATTTTTATATTTTTATTTTGTTTCATAGTTTCAAACATAGTGCCAGTTGCATGAATAAATTGATAAAAAATAAACATGAATATGATATTGTAATATTAATTATTACTGAATGAGAAACATGACTCAAGATGCAAATGACTGTCCCACTTTACCTGAACACTAATTATTGTTTCTGTACATTTTAAGATCCTCTGATATTTCTCATTTAGATTTTACCAGCACCTGAAACAAGTTAGAGTGGCGGACCTGAAGTAAGTAACATACCTTCTCCTGAACCATTTACCAGGTTCTACTCTAAATCCATTTACCAACAACCTACTCTGGAGAATGTCACGGTGGGCTGTTCCCATCCCAGGTGTTACAGGGTCAGGCTGCACCCTGGATGGGACACCAGTCCATTGAAGATCACGTGCACACGCAACATGGGCAAAACATGCAAACATCACATACTGAAAGGTGGGGTTCAAATCCAGCCTCTTAGTAAATTAATCAAACAGTTGTCAGTGGCTGTAGTGAGATTTTCAATTCCAGACAAGTCTGCACATACATTTACACATATGTAAGAGTTTATTAACCTTGTAAATAGTCTCTAGGGTTTGCATCACTTTTGATGTAGCTAATTTTAGGTTTATAATGGAATAATATAGATCTGCTGCAAGATTCCTTGTGCCAGCGTGAGAGCCTGAAAGCATGAGTGTCACACCAGAAGTGTGAGACTTGGCAGCCCTGTGACTAGATCTAAAGAAGCCCTGTGTTGTGCAAATGGTTGTATATAAAAATAGTTGTTACGATGCAGTTAGATCCAAGACTACATTAAAGGACCTGTAATGTAATCGATCTTGGATGTTTATTAGAGGTATTTCAGGCGGCTTTATTGATCACATATCAATGCTGTATCGATGTTATACCAAAAGGAAAGGTGAGCTTTTGCTTTGCCGGTGCAGGGTCAGCTTGGGACATCTTACCCCACATTGTCTCGGAATTTGCAGCGACATCAGAAATGCTGTGCTCGTTTTTGGCTAACCTTCCTCCCCTTAGCTCCGAGACTTAATGTACTGTACACATATTAGCATGCTGATATGCCATTTACGACGTCCATTAAGCTGCTTTTAGTCAGAATAAGCAAGTTGTTCACTCAATGTAACTATAGATAGTTACAGCCCATCTTCTGATCGCTATATTTAACTGTTTAATTTGTGGTTTCAGTTATTTTCGGCTGATGTGTTAGCTAGTGGTGTTCTTTGCCCACAGAGGCAAAGAGAAGGGCCTCTCATGATTGGATAAATGCTGCACATTTGAAACACCACAGCCTCTGCAGTAAGACACGTGGAACCTTATTTATTACACCGCAGCAGATTAATTCAAATTTCAGGTTAATTAACGATTAAGGGTTTTGGTAGTTATGCTTTTAGAGCAAAACGATCCAAACTATTGTAAAAAATGCAGGCAAAGAAAAAAAAGTTCTAAAAATTGTCATATTATCCAGGCAGGTAGTTAAAAAGGTTATAAATTTCTCTGGAGGACAGGGGACTACTATACCACTGACTAGCAATGGGAGCTGTGGCCCAGGCCACATGCAAAATTAATGCCACTGGAAAGGTTAAAGGTTGCTGCAAGAAATGCGACAATCCACTTCAGAAAGGCAGCTACTGTACCATGTGAGTGAGGCTGGTTGCCATGACGAAATGCACCGTGTTCCCAAGCCAAGATGCGTGGATCTCACATTTATTTTTTTTTTTCCCCAAAAATAACTTTTAAAAGTAAAGCGATGGTATTCGCCTACACTAACTAATATTAAAGAACACTGCTATTAATATGTTAAATGTGATGCAAATCATTTTCTGAACTTGTTTGCCTAGTTTAGGGTGGCAGAGGGTCTGGACCCTATTGGCACAAGGCAGGGAACAACCCTGGATGGGGTGAAAATCCATTGCAGGGCACACGCCCACACCATTCGCACCTATGGGCAATATGGTAACTCCAGTTTAACCTCAGCAGGTTTTAGACTGTGGAGGAGAACCCTATGATGACACAGGGAGAGAATGTAAACTCCACACACATGGAGCCATGGTGGAGACTTGAACCCAGGTTCCAGAGGTGGGAGGCAACAGTGGTAATGACTGCATCCAAACAGCTTTCAGTATTGATTATATATTTTTGGCTTACATGACATCTGTGAATTTCTGCAATCTTTGGGCAAGTTCCAAAAATATTCCCGTTTGATTGTTCATGGCCTACTGTAAAAAAAAAAAAAACAAAAGTCAAATTTGCGAACACGAAAAGGCTACTTTACTGTACTACACCATTAAAAATGTGTCTCAGCATTAACTTCTGGTGGCTGAGGTTTTCCAGCCACTGCCACACGATCAGAGACCTTCTGCTGATTTCCGGCAGATGCGGCTCTCTGTATGTGGTGCCCCCTGCTGACCTCAAACCATACACAGTCATCTCAGTTAATCCCCCCCTTGGATTGAGTTCCTGCTCCCAAGCTCGGCACATTTACACCTGCTGACTCAGTGTCCCGGCTTATGATTGTATGTTATGATCCAATCCCCCCAACCTGAGTCTGTGCAAAGTCTGCCTCTTCCTTTTGGGGCAGAGGGACTGACTTCCTGCTCTGATCTTCTTAGAGGTTGCAGAAGAGGCTTTATCAGCCCCAGAGGGACCACCGGTCAGTCGAGGTCACAGCGCTATGCCGGTCAGGCCAGTAGGGGGCAGCAGTAAACACACAAATTTAGATCTAACCCTTTAGTCATAGCTGTAGGCTTCCAGATGTTTCTCTAAATTACTTAAAACAGAATCAAAATCAATATTTGAGCATCTGTTCATATAAAAGCCCATTCATGCCCCCATGCATGTAAATGTAAATATGCCAACCTATACTATATTGTCAAAAGTATTGGGACACCCCCTGAATCATTGAATTCAGCTGTTCCAATCACTTCCATAGCCACAGTTGTATAAAATGAAGCACCTAGGCATGCAGGCTGCTTCTGCAGACATTTGGGAATGAATGGGTCACTCTCAGGAGCTCAGTGAATTCAAGTGTGGTACTGTGATATGATACCTGTGCACAGGGGCGCCGTAAGGGGGAGGAAACCTAGGACGATTCCAAGGGCCCCTGAGCGACAGGGGCCCTAAAAAATTAGGAAAATAACTGGATTGCTTTAGACTGGGGGGCCTAATATGATATGCTTTCATGGGGCCCAAAATCTCTAGCAGCGCCCCTGCCTGTGCAATAAGTCCATTCGTGAAATTTCCTCGCTACTAAATATTCCACAGTCAATTGTTAGTGGTATTATAACAAAGTGGAAGCAATTGGAAACAAAAGCAACTCAGCCAGAAAGTGGCAGGCCATGTAAAATAACAGAGCGGGGACAACGCATGCTGAGGCGCACAGTGTGTAGAAGTCACTCAGTGGTTACAGACCTCGATACTTGCCTGACTGCATTGTGCCAAATGTAATGTTTGGTGGAGGGGGGATTATGATTTTATTGTTTTTCAGGGGTTGGGCTTGGTCCCTTAGTTCCAGCGAAACGAACTCTTAATGCCCCAGCATTCTAAGCCATTTTGGACAATTTCATGCTCCCAACTTTGTGGGAACAGTTTATGGATGGCCCCTTCCTGTTCCAACATGACTGTGCACCAGTGCACAAAACAAGGTCCATAAGGACATGCATGAGCGAGTCTTGACTGGCCTGCACAGAGCCCTGACCTCAACCCGATAGAACACTTTTGGGATGAATTAGAGCGGAGACTGCGAGCCAGGCCTTCTCGACCAACATCAGTGCCTGACCTCACAAATGCTCTCCAGGAAGAATGGTCAAAAATTGCCATAAACACACTCCTAAACCTTGTGGACAGGTTTCTCAGAAGAGCTGAAGCTGTTATAGCTGCAAAGGGTGGGCTGGCATAGTTTATGTATAAAGAATGGGATGTCATTAAAGTTCATGTGTGTGTAAACACAGGTGTCCCAATACTTTTGGCAATATAGTGTATTTCCCAGTCATATAAAAGAATTATACTTCTGTGGAAGAATCACAGTCAAAAACAAAATTCCATGGTATTATTGTTTAATTGTGTTTCCAAAGAAAATATGAACAAAAACAGCTCATTGCATTTTTCTTTATTTTTATTAGTAATCAGCTTTTTATCTTACATGCACATACCACTTATTTTTCCTCACATGATAATTGTTATTTATATACCCAAAATATTGTAGAAGCAGTGTTACAAACCTATGTAACAATTATTTGAAAAAACACACAAGTGTCTAAAAATTGCAGGTTGTAGCTAAGCCTGAGTTGTGTTAACATCCCTTTTGCAACTTCTGTTACGTGCTGAAATAAAATAAACCAGCTTGATCCTTCAAAAGGATCCAAACGGACGACTTTGAAGACCACAGAAAAATAGGCGGTGGGCTCACAAATACCCCAGAGACACAACTGCTCAAACTGAGTTAAAATGTTAGCATTGCTGGCAAACAGGCGACTGTGTTGATCTTAAAACCGTGAGCAGTAACAGAGAGCAGTAACCGTGAGCAGTAACAGAGACTTGCAGAGCCACCACCAAAAGATTCCATCTCTCTGAATCTGTGAACGATTACGAAGCCAGGAAATCAGATTTGATGCTCAGCCACTACAACGGAGAAAAAAGCCGGTTAGCAAGTGCAAGGAGCTCTGTGAATTGAGTTGTACGATACCGTGGCTTGTGAGAAAAATAGAGGTGTGCGCTGCCTCGCCTACCCACGCTCCTGCCCTGCAAATAACTCCACATTTACTACAGACATACTCCACCCTTAAGAACACAGTGTCTTAGCTCTTTGAAAATGTGCCTAAAAACTTCCCATCTTCCCATCATTTACCTTCATGATATCTGCATGCATGTTTGCCCCAGCTTCTCTGGATCCTCTATAGCAGTGTTTCCCAATCCAGTCCTCAAGGACCCAAAGACAGTCCATGTTTTTGCTTGATGCTGGGAGGGAGCAAAAAAGTGGTCTGTCTGGTAGGGAGCTGGGAGGGAGCAAAAAAGTGGTCTGTCTGGTAGGGAGCTGGGAGGGAGCAAAAACATGGACTGTCTGGTAGGGAGCTGGGAGGGAGCAAAAACATAGACTGTCTGGTAGGGAGCTGGGAGGGAGCAAAAACTTGGACTGTCTGTGGGACTCAAAGACCAGACTGGAGATCACTGTGCTACAGCTTCTCTTCACCTCTATATCTGAAGGCATCAAACCTGCGATGACTCTCTGCAGTCTCCTGAGACACTAACAGTTCTGTTAACAGAGTTAATATGGCAATACAGTTATATAGTAATACAGTTATACTAACTTGCAACTTAGATTGATGCTGTTACATACTGAGGGACAGTGCTCATTTTTAGTTTCCTAAAATCTCTGGAACTATTCCAGGATCTACTTTGTTAACTGAACATGCAAATTGTTGCCGTATTTGCATAGATAGGCTGTTTTTAAATCAAACCTAAATTTTGTATGTCTTGTGGTGCTTCTTTATTCATCAATACTCCATAAACAATGATCGTAATAAATAATCTGAAGTTACTAGGATAATTATATAAAACATCTATGAATTAAGTAAAGTGATTCAAGTGGAGTTCAATGGAAAGAAATCCGAGGGATTTGATCTTGGTAGAAGAACTGGTGCAGACTGGTTAGGAGTCAGAGGCCAAGTTAGGGCTGAGACACAGTTATTACAGACAGGGTTAATAAAGCCCCAGAGGCAGTATTCCTTTCTGTCTCCATAAGACATAAGCTCAATGCTACTATTAGCAGAGCGGCATTAGGTGCAGTGTTGCTATGAATATCATCCCAATGATAAAAAGATTTCTACAGTGTGTGGTATAAGCAAGTCAACATAACACTATGAGAGGACTTTACAGTGATGCTGTATAACTATGTCAATGTAGCTCTGTAAGAGGACAGTGATACGATGTAACCATGTCAATGAAACGCTGTAAGAGGACTTTACAGTGATTCTGTATAACAATGTTAATCTAACGCTTTAAGAGGACTTTACAGTGATGCTGTATAACCATGTCAATATAACGCTGTTAGAGGACTTTACAGTGATAGTGTATAACCATGTCAATGTAACACTGTACAAGGACTTTACAGTGATGCGGTGTAACCATGTCAATGTAACACTGTAAGAGGACTTTACAATGATGCTGTATAACCATGTCCATGTAACTCATTAAGAGGACTTCACAGTGATTCTCTATTACCAGGTCAATGTAACACTGTAAGAGGACTTTGCAATGATGCTGTATAACCATGTCAATGTAATGCTGCTAGAGGACTTTACAGTGATACTGTATAACCATGTCAATGTAATGCTGTAGGACTTTACAGTGATGCTATATATCCATGTCAATGTAACGCTCTAAGAGGACTTTACAGTGAGGCTATATAACCAGGTCAATGTAACACTGTTAGAGGACTTTACAGTGATGTGGTATAACCAGGTCAATGTAAGGCTATTAGAGCACTTTACAGTGATTCTGTATAACCATGTCAATGTAACACTGTTAGAGGACTTTACAGTGATGATGTATAACCATGTCAATGTAAGGTGGTTAGAGGACTTTACAGTGATGCTGTATAATCATGTCAATGTAATGCTGGATAAGGACTTTACAGTGATACTGTATAACCATGTCAATGTAACTCTCTAAGAGGACTTTACAGTGATGTTGTATAAACCTGTCAGTGTAATGCTGGATAAGGACTTTACAGTGATGCGGTGTAACCATGTCAATATAACGCTGCAAGAGGACTTTACAGTGATACTATATAACCATGTCAATGTAACTCTCTAAGAGGACTTTACAGTGATGTTGTATAAACGTGTCAGTGTAACGCTGTAAGAAGACTTTACAGTGATGCTGCATAACCATGTCAATGTAACACTGTATGTCGCTGTACTGTTTTGCAGTGTAATATCTTGTACCCTCTTACTGGCTTATTAACAGCGCCCTTATTCCAGTGTTTTCTCCAGCATCTTCACAGCACAGCGGGGTCCTGTGGGTCTATCTTGCCGACCTCAGTCCGACCACTCATTATCCTCCAGCTCTGAGTCATCGTCTGACTCGCTGTACTCCACAGCGATGCGCCGGGACAGGATCGTGGCCACGTCGTTGGCCACTGGCTCCTTCTTAGCCTCTTGCTCTCGCTGCTCTTGCACTTTACGCAGCTGGATGCCTGAAGGAAATACCCACAATCCTTTGCTTATACACACCTACAGTACATAGACACAGTACAGAGTCATCTCTGAGTATCTGGCACCCTGACCTTTGCCCTCTGACCACTCACCTCTGCGAATAGCAGCAAGCAGGTCGCTGCGGGCGTCGCTCATGGGTATTAGCGGGACCTGACCTTTCCGTGGAGGTGCCTCACTGACTGTAGAGGTCCCACCACGTATGGGGTATAGGACATGAGTGGGGGGACCAGGAGGGGGTGGTGGAGGGGCCACCGGGGGGCCCCCAGGGGCAGGGTGGGATGGAGAAGCAGCGTAAGCTGAGGGTGGGGCAAGTGGGGGAGAGGGGCTATAGGGTCGGGACATGGCGGATATGGTGGTAGAAGCAGGTGGGGCCGGGGACACGGTTGGACTGTCAAAGGCCGTCTGGGCTGAGGGGATGAGCGGCGGAGCCGCCGGTGCAACTGGTGGCACATAGTAATCCAGCATCTGTGGCCCACTGGAGAAGACAAATGACATAGTGAAGAGGACAGCATACAATCTATAGCACAAATCACCTGTGATATCAGTGAGTTGTCCCTGCCGGGGGGCATCTAAGGGGGTGCGTGAGGGATCGCTGCATCGTCACCAACCTGTAGTCCTTCATAGGCTGTGGGCGGGGCCCATTAAGGGCAGCATCAGCGGCCATGGGGGCATGAGTGGGCTGCTTGCGTCCCAGTGAGTTCTGCCGGCCGGCAGCTGTGGCTGGAGGGGGATAAACCCTGTCCAGGGACTGGGAGTGGGCGGGGGCCCCCAGGGCATCCTTCCCCTCAGATGTGGAGTAGGAGCCTGAGCTGCTAAGCTGGCCGGGGTGGATGGGGCTGGCAGGGTAGGAAGGCACCCCTAGGTCTGACATCACTGACCTGGAGCAGGGGGAGGGGAGAAGGTCACCAAGGAGACAGAGGTGGAGATGGGAAATTAAGTGCCTGTTTTCAATATCACGTGTGAGGGGCATCTTATGGAAGCATATCTCCAAATGCCAGGAATTATTATATGATTTTGAAGAGATACTTAAAATCTGTCAAGCAGGGATTAATATATTCAAGTAGCATGAAGTGCCTGCAATTCCCCATAAGGGGGCAGCAGGGAAGTTCTTGAATGGAGTGTGGTCCAGGCGGAGCAGAGCTACCTGCTGTCGGGTGAGAGGGAGCTCTCAGAGGACCGGCCGTGATAGGGGGACGGGGTCAGGCGGCTGTCCGGGCGTAGCTCCTTGTCATAGGCCATCATGTTCCACTGCTGGCGCCGATTTCGTGCCTTCCTCACCTTCTTCACCTCGCGACTTGGGTCCTCTAGCTGTTTCTGCTCCTGAGGGACAGAGAGACATGGATTTCAGCACATGCATCTTTACTCAATACCACGGTGCCGAGGCAGGGGGAGTCCAGAGCCTCAGGCCAGACAGGCCATGGTGTGAAGCTTCTGTCACTGCAGACCACAATCCTCTACAGCCACGCGAGCTGAGACCTCGATCTGAACGCCAACCCTGTCACAGGAGCAACGCCGCGCAAAAGTCAGACAGAACAGACAGTGCTCCCATGGTGGGAAAAATCTGGACAGGTCTAAAAGCCCAACAGATGGGTAATGTCACACAGGCAGATGTCTCACTGAGCCAAGCGGGAGCCTTGTGGGTTTGGCTCGTATGCATCGGGACTTATTTTGGTCTGAGTGGGCTGGGCTGCTGGTCTGTGCTGGGGAGGAGGCCCGTGGGGTGAAACCCGGAACTTAGTCATGTCACTCCCCCAAAAAGTCAGTGGGTGGATCACAGAGGGCGCCCACCAGGTGAGTCACAGCAGGTGGGTCACAGAGTGCCCACCGAGCGGGTCACAGCGGACGGGTCACATAGGGCACCCACCCGGCAGGTCACAGCGGACGGGTCACAGCGGGTGCCCAGTGGGGGAGTCACAGCAGGTGGGTCACAGAGCGCCCACTGGGTGGGTCACAGTGGGTGGGTCACAGAGAGCCCACTGGGTGGGTCACAGCGGGTGGGTCACAGCAGGTGCCCACCGAGCGGGTCACAGCGGACTGGTCACAGCGGGCGCCCACCGGGCAGGTTACAGAGGACGGATCACAGAGGGCACCCACCCGGCAGGTCACAGCGGGTGCCCAGTGGGAGAGTCACAGCAGGTGGGTCACAGGGAGCCCACTGGGTGGGTCACAGCAGGTGGGTCACAGCAGGTGCCCACCGAGCGGGTCACAGCGGACGGGTCACAGTGGGCGCCCACCCGGTGGGTCACTCTTGTCTAGGATCTATTCAGTGCAGAATTTCCTTCCTAACGACCTGCGGAGGATCTGCAGCAGAGAGGCACAGCGTGATCTCAAAGCAGATCAGCACAAGATATCCCTGCAGGCCAAACAACCCTCTACTCTAAATCATCTGCTATTTCTGGCTCATCTAGGGATTTCAGAGCAGAAGACACCACACCATATGTTTTAGTTAATAAAAAATTATGTTACACCCTAAATAGTAGCACTAGCAGAGATTTTATAAATATAATATTAGTATAAATTACAAATGTCACAAACACTAGGATAATAAACTAGTTAGATACACCACTGCTATCATACTGCAAATTCTCAGAAGGAAAATGTACATCATCTCAGCCTGGTGACTGACTATCACAGGTTAAATCTGCTTTTAACTATCTGTTAAATATGTGTTTCTTAATTGCGCTGGTTTGATTCTGATCTTTCCCAGGTTTCACTCCAGCAAACCCTGTCAGCTCTCAGCTGTCTTCAGCACCTGCCCACGCCTGCTCTTCAGAGAGTGACGCCGCGGTCCTGCACACCAGCTGCTTCCAGGCTGCACGGTGCCCCCCAGAGGCTCACATGGCTCGTATTCAGTGAGTGCGGCCCAGCGCATCAGGGACAGACAGCCAGCAGCTGCACCAAGATGCCCCACGCAGAGGAAAACGCTGTCAAACATGCTGCGTAATCCTAGGTTCATTCTAGGTATAACTTCAGAGACTTGAGCCACAAGCTTTACTGACTGAGGCCCCAGGTAATAAGAGGCCTTCTACACAATAGAAGCCAAAACATAAAAAGCTGACATTTATACCACAGGTGCTGTGGTTGCACTGAATAAATTATTTGATAAGATAATATATCTGACACATCATGTGGCTTATTTCAACGCAGCAAAGGGCTGTTTTCTAGTGCCAGGTCATAAGCCTTGTTCTTCAATATACCTGTGTTTATGAAGTTAATTCTGACAATTAAATTCAGCCAGGTCATTTCTGGTGGGCAGCATTATGATATCACACCTCCAGGTTTAGTTCCTACCCCTGTCTCGGGAGGGAGTTTGTGTGTTTTGGGTTTCCTCTGGGCACTCCTGGGGGGTATTCCATAGAAAGTAGCTAAAGATAGCCAGACTTTCCCAAAAAAGTCAGACTCAAACTAGCACCATCTCTAAACTAAGCCTCATGTCATTCCACTATCGCAGTTGAGCTTTAACTAATCAAGGCTCATACAAGACACTCTTGCATAGTCTCACTTAGTGCGCACACCCGCAATATTTAAGCCTGTAAAACGAGAGCTGTGTTTTTTTCCACCCCAATACAAACGCTGCTGATGGAGCTGTATGAAAAATATGTTATCACTAAAATGTTATCACTAAAAAAGGCAATACTGTGGCCATAAAGCCAGGGAGTTGGCTGGGCAAACAATTGCAGACAGACTAAATGAGTAACTTACAGTATGTTGCAAGTGCTTAGTACAGTGGCATGATGGTACAGTGGTTTGTGCTGTTGCCTTACACCACGAAAGTTTCTGGTTCGATCCCTATTGCCAACAAGGAACTTTCTGGGTTGAGTTCACATGCCATTCTTACTGTAAAATGTTATTCTCTATTATTTGAACTCCATAAAATACTTTCAATCACATCTGTGTGAAATGTTCTGCACAAATAACTGTATCTTGTCTTTGCTTTTTACTAATAAACCTTTAAAGTAGACTGTGACTAAACAAAATAGAAAAATATCTTCCTGTTCATATTCTTTTTTTTTCCCATTTTCAGTCATTTCATGTTTGACCTTTGTAATAAGAGTACACTTTTATTTTAATTATTCTGGAATTAATTGGAATGCTGAGACATGATTTTTTTATAGGCTTTATTATATTTATTTCATGACATCAGTAGTGAAAGCGCGGAATTTCGTCCGACGGAACGATCTTTTGGGAAACTGTTCCCACACGTTTCCCACATGTTCTTTGAGACAACGATAAACTAAGCGAGACAGTTAACCTCATCCGGAGCAGACTTGTTCACAAGTTACCATGGTAGCTCAGCTGGGATAAATTTTAGACACGTTGATGGAACGGAACTCTCACTTAAATGAGCCAGACTTGTCTTAATCTTGCTTCGTGGAATACCCCCCTGGTCCTTCAGAGAGTCCAACGACATGGACTACAGACATATTATGTACTTTATAAGGGTTACACAGGACTTCATCAATCTTTTTTTCTCCCAGCAATCAGCTATGTCCTTATCGATCCCTCTATAAATGGCAAACCACAGTGCAGAGTGTGAAATGGGGTATTTCTAATAAAAAAAACCTGGTTTTCAATGGAGAGTATTCCTTAGCAAAGTGATACAGACCCACCAGCCAATAGAATCTGATGCTTATTATTACGTGAAACAACATCAATGAGCAGATAGTCTAGGTGTATAGTCTGTAATTATTTTATATTTTATCTTTGTTTAATCTGCTTTCAACAAAAAAAGGTAAGTTAAAAAATAATAATAAAAAATGAGTAATAATTGGCAGGATTGGATGCAGGACCCAGTACCACCACCCTGCTCTGTAGTGCTAACTCCCAATACCCCCCCTCACCTCCCTGCCAGTCAAAAGAGGCATGTCAGTCCTGTCTGCTCAAAGTCCGACGAGGAGAAGGCACGAATAATGACAAGCAGAAACAGCCAGGGGAGAGAGGGGGATGAGAGAGTGGGGTGCATGACGGGGGGGGA